ACCAGTTTCCATAAAGGCTGCACCATTTTGCAGCTCCACCAACAGTGTATAAGAGTTCCTTTTTCTCTGCAACCTCTCCAGCACTTATCCTTCTCAGTGTTTTGGATATTAGCCATCCTAACTGGAGTGAGATGATATCTCAAAGTCTTGATTTGCATTTCCCGGATGCTGAGTGAAGTTGAGCATTTTTTCATGTGTCTGTTGGCCATTGTATATCTTCCCTTGAGAAATGCCTATTCAGCTCTTTTGCCCATTTTTTAATTGGGTTATTTGTATTTTGCTGTAAAGTTGTTTGAGTTCCTTGTATATTCTGGATATTAATCCTTTGTCAGCTGAATATTTTGCAAATAATTTCTCCCACTCTGTTGGTTGTCTGTTTACTCTGTTGATTGTTTCTTTTGTTGTACAAAAGCTTTTTAGTTTGATATAATCCCATTTATTTTTCCTTTAGTTGCCTGTGCTTTTTCTGCCTCAAGGAATGGCTGAGGACTATAAAATGAGCAGGAGATGCCTGGGGGTGTTACGTGCTCTGAGGAGGTCAAAGAGGACTGCTGCTATTTTTGTGTGCTATGATTATTTGCATACATTTTGAACTGATTTTTATTATTTGTCCCTAAATATTTTATTTTATTCTAAAAATGTGATCCTTTTTTGATTCCTTGCACTAACTAGCTATTGCTTGCATATGAGAAATCTCCTGGTTTGTACATCTTCGTCTTGTAGTTAGCCTCATTACTGACCACTTTCCTGATAAAAACCATGGTGTTGTGAAGTGATTGATTTTGTCTTTTTCTTTTCTAATATTTATACCTATAGACATTACTATAGAGTAAAAAAAAAACTATAAATAAAGTACAGAGTTCTCTTGCAATTCCACTTTCTAGTGTTAACAGCAGGTTTTGCTAGCCCTGTAGGATGAATTCGGAAGGTCTTAATATCTTTCTATACTACATTATAAATAAGTAAAGGACTAACTATTCTGAAGTTTCAACGGACTTTGTCAAATGTTCTTCATTGTGTGGTTTTGGAGGATGGAATCCTGAGTTTCCTTTCAAGAACTTTCTGAGGCTTGTTTTATTCCTGAGCCATTTATACTATTTTACATTTTCCTAATTGTAGGAAGTAGAAAAGGAACACTAATATATAAAAAAGCATTCTATGTTTATTATATAAATATATTAACACAGGTAGGGTAAGTATTTTTTCTTTCAGAAAATGGGCATGGGTGTTGGCTATCGGAGCCCTGGCATGCCTGCAAATGCCGCTAGGCCCTATTGGAAATAGTGAATTTGGTTTGAGGAAGAGCAGATGTGAAAAGATTCCAGACTTCAGAAGCAGTGTGACTCAACAGAATCTCGGAACCTTGGAGCGGAATGTAGATGGGATGAGCAAGGCTTGTTCTGAGAAGGGCAAGGAGACCCTTCACCCTGGGGCTGGGTGGGACTAGGGAGAGGCAGAGTTAAATCAGCAAGTTGGTGCCAGTTCCCCTCAGGGCCTCACAGAACCTCTCCCTGAGGAATCAGCATTTGACTTTGTAAATCAGGGGACTCCTGGAAGCTCCAGGGTAAGGAAATGAGATGAAGGTCAAGTAATTAATTTGGCAACGTGTATGGATTGGCTGAAGCAGGGATTTGCTTTGAACACCCTGGGGATACCTGTAAAGACAGGAGGCCACCTGAAAATGGAGGGGACCAGCAGGCCTGGGGCCTCACTGGGTTGGATGATGGAGGAATGTGGAACCCAGAGGCATTAGACACTGTAGACTTGGGAGTTGTGGTCACTCATGTGCCACTAATGCTCAGTTTGGGCTGCCACTGGTTCACTGTGGGATCTGATTTCTTTCCCTGAAAATGCAGATACTTCAGCCAAACTTTTTCTGATCTGGGCCTCCACACCTCAAAACGGTGCCCCTGTGGCTGGGGGAGGGTAGGGGATTTGATATGTGGCGTGGGTCATTAGTAGCTGTCATGTGACCCTTTTGCGCTGGGTTCTGGTCAATGTTGTGGACCGTGGCAAGGCTGCCTGCAGAGATGAGAGCCTGGCATAGTTGGATGGGAGGTCAGGCAGAGTGCAGGAGGTGAGGGCCATGCTGAGGGAGGGTCTTGGGGACGAGTTAAGTGATTTGAGCAAAGCTAGGGAAGTGAGTGATTTGTCAGCAGGCACCCAAGGGAGAAACCCAGGGCCACTGGAGGCTGCTGAGTTGGTCTCTTGAGTGAAAGAAAGGCAGCGAGACCCGGTCTGACGGTTCACCAGAGAAGTTCCGTTTTATTCAAGGACTGCGCGTACATTTATAGGGTGCTGTGCTCTGGGGCGGGAGAGAGAGTGGACGGGGTGGTAACTGATTGGACGGGGCTGGGCAGGAGGTGAGCCTTGACCTGTGACTGGCTGAGGTTTGGCGCTGGTGGGCTTGGGTGTTGGCGCCAGCGGGTTTGTTTACTGCGGAGAAGAACCAGGAAGGGCATCATATTGCCAAGGTGTGTCCCTGTTCAGGTGCCCATGGGGTCCCTACACTGAGAGACAATACAGTGTCCCCATGCAGAAAGAGCGGTGAGCGGCTAGCCTGCAGGAGAAGGCCAACGGCTCCCCAAATCCAGATAGGCAGTGCCACTATGCTCCTCTAACCCCACCCCTCAGCAATGGAGCGGGTTTGTTTACTGTGGAGAAGAACCAGGAAGGGCATCATATTGCCAAGGTGTGTCCCTGTTCAGGTGCCCATGGGGTCCCTACACTGAGAGACAATACAGTGTCCCCATGCAGAAAGAGCGGTGAGCGGCTAGCCTGCAGGAGAAGGCCAACGGCTCCCCAAATCCAGATAGGCAGTGCCACTATGCTCCTCTAACCCCACCCCTCAGCAATGGTCTCCCAGCTTCTCACCCCTAAAGTCACAGCTTTGGAACATCTGTGGGGGTCGTACTGAAAGCGAGGACTCCCCACCTCCTTCTGCCATGCACGCTTGTTCTCCCACTGCCCACTTTCCTCACACTCCTCTCCCTCAGTCTCCACGAATATGGAGGGGAGACTGCTGCCCCACGATCCCTGCACGCCATGCTGGCCTCTTCCTCCCCTCCCCAGCAATCGTCCTCAACTCCCCCTTCACAGTCTGGGTCATGGCTGCCACCTCGGAACTACAGCCCACAAAGAAAAAGACTCAAATACCTGCAAACCAAAGCCTGTATTTCCTAGAGCAAAAATATTCTTCCCTTTTATAAAAAAAGAAAGATCCCTATTTAGGCTAGTAGGTTAATTAAGGCATAGAAAGGAAAAAGTCTAGTTCATCCAAGAATTGAATCTGAAAGTAGGTGGGGACTGGGTAGCGGGGTAGCGAAGGTTCTAGAGGCAGCTGGGGAACCTTGGTCTCATAGGGTCTCCCTACAAGCAGATGTCCTTGGTAAATAAGAGTTAATAGTTGGAGCATTAGCATGCCATGGCTCCTTTGGATTTTGATTCCATTTGATTTCAGGAGAGTCATAATCCAGGGCCCCACATGCCATTTCCCCGTCCAGGACAGGCAGGTCTGGCCCCGGGAGAGTGCGCAAGCTGCGGGGGGACTGCGGTGCCTCTCCTCCAGCACCCTGCAGCCTCCCCGCACCTACCGGTGGCAGCGCGCCTTTGCGGTGCCCTGACACCGAACTGATGCTTCTGGGAAACGAAACTAAACCTCTCCAAAGTTTCCAGCTCTTTTTGTTTCCCGCTACCCAGCGCGTCCGAGTCTAGCGAAGGCGGGGCCGAGGAGCCACCGCGGCGGAAACGGCCAGGGCGGGCCAGCGTGCGGGCACGAGTACAAGGGGACTCTGTGCGGGGCGGCGCCCGGCCCGCCTGCGCCCTGCTGGGACTGCGGCCGGGCGGCGGGGGCTG